GATAGTCACAGTTAGAAATGTTACGACACGATATTCTTATTGCTTTCACGTTTGCTTAATTATAGTCTGTTGGAAGTTGCTCAACAGTGTCCAAGATATTCCGTATGTAGGCTTCGTTATATTTGTCGCAATGTGTTACGCTAAATCCATCTTTTTTTTTTGTTTTTTTTTCTTATTCTTTTTTTCGTACTATCTGAAAGAACGTTAACGCAGTTATTCCTAGAGATTACGATAACCTGTAAATTAAACGTAGCTTCTTAGCTTCTAGCTCGGTCTAGCTCGGACCAACGGCGCTATTAATATAACTAAAACGAAAACACGAAGGATGAAAATGTTACGTAACAGTAACGAAATATTATAATAGCTTCTGTATAAGTATCGTGGTGTTAGATATCACTTAATATAGCAGAGATTCGAAATGAATGAATTCGCAGAGCATAACGATATTAATCTTTGTTAGTAAGATACGGCAGACGATTAACCCTTAAATTACAAACGTATGCTCGAGGAGAATCTGAGTGTCTATTTCATTATCACAAGTTAGTGGAGAATTTTAGAAGCTGTATTTATTTAAATACTTGCAAGTATTTATATACTTTAGTTGTAAAAGATTTTTATAAATAAATAAATATATATATGCAATTATTCAAAGCTTTTAAAACATGGTGATTTTAAAAATAAAATCATTAATCTGCGAGAAAACAAGTTTGTGATAGCAAAAATACGAGCATCTGTCGTTAAGGGTTAAAAATCGACGACATTCTTTGTCCAAAATCAATTAACCACGCAAGGCTGTATAGATAACAAGACGCAAATCCTTTAATTGCACATAATCATTTTTCTTCTATATTATTTTCTCTTATGAAGTGTCAACTCTTACACGTAACAAAAATTCTGTGCTTTTAATTGATTTTAATTTCTATAGCATCGTCTTTTGGCTTATCTGCAACATCGATATACGATTTTTTAAAATAACGTATTCTGATTACGATATAATTCAATAATACGCATGTTTAACTGTATTGTTTCTGTGTTGTAACTGAATAAAAATGCTGAAAAAGTTGTTCAAAGAATTTCTTTTGTTCCTTGCGGTAATACGTACAGTATGTAAGTAGTATTAGAAATGCTTTAAAATTCAGATTTAAAATTCAGAACCAATGTTAGAACAAACGAATAACCGAAGAATCAGTGAATCAAAATGGTCAAAAAACAAAGCGCACTTTGGTCGTGGCAAATATCTCAATTTTCAAGATCGCGATTTATGTACAAAGAACGTAAAATTAAAAGCACAGAATTCTCGTCTAACATCTAGCGTATTCAAAAACGATCGATTAATTAATCTTGGACGCACAATAATAACATACATAATAAAAAATAGAAACGCTTCGTAGAAGGCAGAAACCTTCTAGCGATGAAACATTCTGTGTGAGGAACAAACAAGCTTCCACAAAGCATCACAGCAAAGCAATCAATCAATCGTAAGCGTAATATCGTTTAGAAACCTTAAAAATGTTCAATGTTCACGATTATAAAATAGTTTGGCGTAGTGACAGCAATTGTCGCAACTGTCGACTGAAAATATCAAAATTGCCCTTTGTTTGTGTAACTAATTGGCGAAATTCAAGAATCAGCGCAGGAAAGCAACGAACTGCAAGTAAGCGTAATTCGTACATGATCGATCGTAGGGATCGAGGATCGATTCAAATGCAATGGACTCGTATATAGGGTATTTCATCTAACACATTCAATGCGGAAGACATGAACGTGCGTGTCGTCGGAACTTCCCATCACCTTGCGGATGAAGACATCTGGATAGATGGACACGTGTTATAGAAAAATCGATTTCCACCATCAGGGACCCAATTCGCTTTTGTGCGTCGCATTGAACGCGTTAATTCGTTTGTTACTGACGATGCAAAAAACATACTTTTTTAATTTTATTTTATGATTGTAATTTTGCAAGGATCATTTCTGCTTCAGTTGCTACTTTCTTTCTTTATTCTATATGCGAGAAGTAAAAATATATCGGCTGGATTTCTGTAAATTTATTAGTTTCATTCTTCGAGCACGTGGTAACGTTCAATTTCTCAAAAGACAAATACTTCTAACATTGTTACTTTCTTGTACTTTCAGCTTGTAAAATTAATCGCTTGATCCATTCGCAAAATCATATAATTTCATTTTCTAATAAAACTCAGTATTTCCTTCGCCAAAATATATTCTCTTATTCGATCAAATTAACGAAGGCGAAAATGTATTCCTGTATATTATATAATATATATAATGTATCCTTGTACAATCTTCTTCGTATAGAACCAACTATCATTATGATTATTTTCTCACGCCGTCGTTAATAGCAATTGGAATCATCTTAAGTATAGAAATTAAGCGAAATACCCCATACACGATGATTCACTGGAAGAATCGTCGACAAACAATGTGAAAAAGACGCGTTTTAACGATATCTTCGCCTCTCGATTCGCGAACGACGATTCGACAGAGCATTATCAAACCTTAAAAAGAGCGCAAAACACAGTAAAAAAGTTGAAAGATAGCGCGCGCGCATAGAAAAATCCCAGTTGTACAGTGTGTCTATCAGCGAGCTTAAATTAGTTTACGAAACTATTTACACAGATCGCATTAAACGGAAGGTTGTCGAGCTTGTTATACATGCTCGTATGTCGCTGTACTTAAGCTTAGCGGCTTACAGTTACGTACAGATACCTTAGTTAGTTCAAAGATGATTCGTGCGTGTACCGCTATTATTATATTAAGAGTATGTATATATACTTTTTTGTTTTCTTTATGCATATGCATTATGTTGTAATATATTATATTATTTTGTGTTATATTACGTTATATTATATTATATTATGTTATGTTATGTTATGTTATATTATGTTATATTTTATATTATACTATATTATTATATATCACTAGCACTAGGTGAGTGAGAACTGAAACTTGGAGATTATACTTGTGGAATTTCTTCCTCGTTCACCTAGTGCCCAACGCTTTGTAAAATAACTTACAACTGTTCTCATATACATATATCGGTGTAACGTTTTTGTAATAACTTTAAGTGGACCCGAACGGTAGTCGAACGTGCACGCCTGTGCCTCGAGAAGAAATTTTATTATATAAGACTGTGTCATCAATTAACAAGTAAACTGGCTGTCTACGAGAGTATGCGAAAAATTAGATATAGTACGATATTGTAATATCTAGAGGAACAATTTCTTAACGTTCTTTTTTTTCCCAATTTTTACATCGTCTTGGATGGGGTAATTAAAATTTGATAAAATATCTCTCCATTTGAAATAAAGCATACCGCTTCGTGACAAGTTAAACATTGTAAATATATACAATAGAGGGTTGTATCAAGTGGAGTACATTGCGCTGCACTTGAAATCAATATACAGAATTATAAACGGAGATGACAATAAAAATCGTTATAGTCAACGTTATTTATATCTGTTCGCAGTTTTCATCGTGATTCATAGGTGTAAATCTAGATAGCTGTTTAAAATACAACGCTATAATCAACAGAATTCTAAAAAGTTGAAGCTTCTGCGTAAGTCGACTTTAAAAGATCGCTGTGGTTCGCTTCTATTCATTTTTTCTTCGCATAGAATATTCGTAAAAAGTGAATTCCTACGAAAAAGTCTTCTCGACACACGGGCACAGAAGAATTTATAACGGTTTTTAAGTATAAATATTGCAGTGTAAATAGATAATTTAAATATTTGTTACTCGAAAGACACATCTAGATCGCATGTTTTACGTTGCGTCGTAAGATCATCGGAAAAATTACTCGCTACGATTTCCTCTCCCGCACAGAAAATTTTCCCTCGAAAAAATAACATCGAAGTCGGGTGCAGGTGCTGAGTTACATTTATCGACAAGGTGTTGTAAATAGCTCATAGCGACGTTCCGTAATTTTTGTCATCGTTTCTTCATCCCCGTGTCGTTCCTTCCTTTTTATATCCCTCTTTTGTTCTCGAATCGGTACGCAACGCCAGTTCACGTACAAGGCTCTTCGAGAATGACGCGGATGAATCGTTAACGTACACGTCGTGTCTAAAAAGGTTGCAATTTCTAGCTCTATTTTTCTTCTTTTACCAATGTGTTGCCACTTTTCGTTTATGAACAGGCACGCGATTTCCAGTTTTATTCGATTATGTTTCACGATTAAACTGTGGATATTTATGAAAATTTATATGTTCATGTAAATTTTATGAACACAAACGAAGGACTTAATGGGAAAGTCGTACAAGCGTATGTTTCCAAAAACGAGATAAAATCGAATTTTTGCGTAAACAAGTACTCGTTTAAAGATTGTTGTCATTCGTTTCTCTTATGAGCATGTATACTAATATGTTTTAATATTTAGAAACATCTTTTCTCGCATTGTAAAGTTTGTCACACTTGTACTATTAATTCACAACAAATGTGATATCTTTTATTTATCTACGAATACCGTGTCTTGTCTGCTTTTTAAATCGTATCTATAAAGTTTTTAACACGTTCAACAAAGTTGTATTGAATTCTGTTTCTACTTCAAATTATGTAACAGTAAGTCTTTGTCTTAATGTCATAAATATATAAATACTTTTAACACCTTCGTTTAGAAACGTCACCGACAACATTTTTATCAGTTAGAGCCGACATTGTGTCTGGTTAAACTGAAATTACTGTATCATACAATTATAGCGATAGTCTCACCGTACCCGTTTTCTGTTTAATAACTTCTTCGAGATAACTTCTTTAAGATTTAATAACTTCTTCTTCTTTAAGATCAAAATCTCGTAAATTCAACGTTCTACAAATTTTATCATTCCTTCACCGCCTGTACCAAAACTGAAGAGAAATTTTTATATTGTTTGAAATAGTCAAAAACTTTTTGACCAATTCAGATAATGTAACCGTTCAAACATTAGATCTTCGGATAGTAGATATATATATATATTTTTTGTATACTTGTGCACTTTAAATTTTCCATAAATGCATAAACATCCGCAGTCTATTCCTGACACATTATCCGAACACCTGTTTAAGGTGCGAAACAACGAAAAAAGTTCTTTTGAGGTGAAGTTCACCGAGGAAATCAAATGTTCAATCGCTCAATTATCAATACACGTTACCTTATATCACGTAATTATACTTCTGTCGTGTATCGAAATATAGAAATCATACGATCGAATTTCTCTGAATGTAGAATAGTTATTGTAAACGTCTAATTGGTCGTGACAGAAATTTATCGATAAAGGTAACGATATACATATAAAAATCAATCTAACAGTTTCTATGAAATACCAACGTGCTACGAACATTCTAAGTACCACTTTATTCTTTAAATTTTTGTTGTTCACGGAACGACCACAGTATGTTTTAATAGGCCTACCTACCACATACGCGATTGGTCGAGACAGAAGTTTCTCACGAAAGACGAAATTCAAGACAGAGGTAGAATCATATCGTGAACTTTAAACTGTATTCTCATAGTTGAAATCGTGAATGATACCACGAATGACCGTGCGCGTTCGAAGGAACTTCATTTGTTAGAAACGAATATTTTTGTATTTTTTAGAAGAAAATTGTTATTAGAAAATAATCAAGTTTATTTACAAGCAGTTAGTTTGTAAATTAATAAGTAAACATGAAGAAATCTAAGGTTCTCGAAATGTATGTTTTGTACATTTTTCAATAATTTCTTAAAATAATCAAGCGTATCATATTTTGAGAAGAAAAGACGTTTTCAAATTTTTATTCGAAGCTCTTACGTACTTCGTGTGTATAGCTTTTACTTTTAATAATTTAATTTGTATAATAAATTCTTCTCTGAAGTTCCTTCGACTTCGTGGTATCAAAATTATTCAACATCGGAAAGTAGAAAATGTTGAATGATTACCGAGATAAGCTCAAACAGAATTCTTTTTGGCCAGAATCCCTTTCAAATTTCACTTCCTTTACTTCTTTCCCTATAAAATGCGCCATAAGTGTCAGATGAATTATGGTGTGGTAGAATAATAGCATTTCCTAATAAACAGGTGCCCTAGTTCTGTCATATACAGAATGGTCCATATATCACAACTGTGTAAAATATCATACAAAAATTTTCTTGGTTTAAAACAACAAATATCTAACATAGTAATAAGTCATTTTCTGGAATAGACTTCTTAACAGGCAAATTTTACTTGTATCATACGAATGAATTTCATTTGTTCGATAACGACTGATATTTCGCCGTAAATTATTAGCTTTCCCTAGGGTGCAATAATAATTTATCAAGACTTTAAAATATTGACTTTAAAATATTCAAGTGTATGATATTAATAACTCGTGCAAGATATTATGGGCCATTTAGTACATTACACACAGATCCAACAGACTAGATATGTTTGTCAAATAATATAAATACCTTAAACAATTGAAATTCAATGAAAATTCAAGGCGATGATCTTTAAAATCCAAAAAATGTCTGCCAGTAAAATATCTAAATATCCGTAAAACTACCGACGCTAGGCCAATTCTTTTAGATTTCTAAAACACCTTTTAATATCGATACTTATCCTAGAATTTTCATTTGCACACACACACATGCGCGCGTTATGTATAATAATTAACACATATGCCAAGCTACCGAGGAACATAGCGTTACAAAAAGAGAATACTCGAGACGGTACGATACAATCATTTCGTGCTGCTACAAATGCAAATGAATCATCTACATAGAAGTTGTCACTTTTAGATTGGCACGTAAAAATTATACTTAACAACTTTTCCTAATACTTCCTATCAGATTTAAGAGCATTACTCGGATGATTTCTTAAATTCATTAGATTTCTTTCATTCAAATTTTACCCGTTTCCTCTTTCTTCTTTGAACGAAATGTCCCTCCTCTTTTAACGATATTCCAATATTTCTCGAGATTCTCCTTCTTCTTTGCGCGTCTTCAATAATTCATAGTTGTTATCCTCTGTCTCATTATGCTCGTGCGTAGAACGTTCCGATTTAGTCGCATGAGAAATATATATTAATATATATATAATGCATCTATTCTATGTATACACGTTTGTTATTATTTTTTTTCTTTTTTTGTACAGAGCTTTCTTTGGTTTTCGAGAAGAAGGAATTAGTCTTTCATAGTAATAACGAACTGTTTTTGATTGAATGCAGGGTGTTCGGTTTGGCAATTTCTTTTCTTCTGTTCGCTCTGTATTTCAATTTATTCCTGCCGTCGTAGAAGAACCATAACTGTTGGTTACTTGTCAGAAACCTGAAGAAGGTTCCAAATCCACTTACGTTCACGTTAAATCCATTTAGACGATATTAAGCATCTTCCACTCTGTAATAACAACAACTTAGAGAAATATCTCCATAAAATTTTAGTTGCTCTACGATTTTCGAATTTCTGTATGTCAATCTCATTTCAATAAATAAAGAGACTCGTAGAATTTTAGAACGCGTTTTAGCGCAATATTAAAACGAGAACGTTTTAACGTACAACGATTCTTATCTTCCATAAATTTAATAAGTAATAACTAACTAATAAGAAACAGATTGAAAAAAGATAAGAAACAACTTGATTGTCGCAACAGAGTCAAATAGAACCTCCTGAAACGTACGTAAACCATAAAGTAATATCTTACATCGATATTCATAGTGTTCTTCTTTCTTCGATTTCGAGCTCGAATGAACAAAATAGCAATTTTAAGCAAAATGTTCCTGGCTTCAAGTACACGTAAAAAGACAAAGACTTGTTCGCAATATCTCAAGGATTTGTGTCGACTGACTTTGACCAGAGAAAGTGCGATAACAAAGTTACTCCGTCCTATTTCCTTATCTCTACGTGGAATTCTTCAATGTTTCGCAGTTTGCATTCAGAAGTAACCGAAAGAATGGTTCGCTACGAAACATAGCATAACATTTCAAACAGTTTGTATTTCGTTTACGTAAAATATCAACGGCCAATGAAGTGATATCGTGGATCGGATAAAGCTCGAACACCCAGCATACAGGATAGAAAAGTGCACTTTCTTCAGCGACGATTCAAGCTGAGTACACGTTACGCATTATATGTCGATAATATATATATATATATTTATATTATATAATTATATATATATATAATTATATATATATAGAAAGTTACAAAAGATAAAAGAATCGAGTATAATGTACACGATGTATAGACTGTCTTCAACGGTTATTCTCCGTTTTACTTTCCTTTCAAAAGCTTCGATTTATACGTTTTCCAATTTCTCTCCTCATTCTCCCTCTCCTTATCTTTGCCATTCTTTTCTCCTTTCTCTTTCTAATTTAAGTCTGGAACGCCTAAGGAGTTTCTCTCTATCAGCGGATGTACTTTCATCATCGACTAACCGGATCCAATTAATTAGCCGGTTTCTCTGACGTCGATCATTAGGCTTCGTCGGAGTGAGAGCCTTGGGAGCTGCGCTTCTTCTTATGGTTGCCGTGGTGATGATGATGGGAATGGTGTTCATGATGGTGATCGGTGTGCATCAACGCGTCAGTTTCTGGTTGATTCTGATGGCCCACCAGCAGGTCCAGCGTACCTCGTGGAAGTCCAGCTTGATCGTTAGCTGGAGGCGGAAGTGGAGTTGCTACGGGCGACTCGCTTGGTAATGGCACACAGTGCAACACGTAGCATCTAACACCGGCTAGTATGATACCTAAAAACATTGAGTTTTGTTAGTCATTACCATACTTTACGCGATCGTTTTACCATTTAACACTAGTATTTTCCTATTTTTTTTTTTTTTTTGATCACTAAAATGTGAAACTTGTACGAAATGGATCAAGAACGAGAAGAATACGGAAGGGTACATAATAGTCATTAGGATCCAAAGGATGATCGTTGGACATTTATTACGATGATATTTTATGAGGTAATTTGACTGTTTAACGTTGGAACTAATTGGGCGATTAAAATGTAAACTTTGTAACAAGCGACTCAAAATGCAGTTAAAGGAAAGCTATACATAACGCGAGGATAATGCCTGGAGATTATCGAGTTTTCGATATGATGGTATTTTATAGGATCGTTTCACCGTTTAACGTTGAGGATTATTAAACTAATTGTAAATTAGCTACTCGCTTGTAACTCACTACGATCTTCGAGAAATGTAGGTGTTTAATTCTGGAATTTAAAAGGGGAATCGTTACAAATATCAACCAGAACGAAACTCTTCTTGATGAACGTTGATCGATTCGTAATTACACTATACAATTTTCATAAACAAAGCTTTAAAGGAATCTTTAAGATTTGTTAAAAAGATTAATAAGTTTTATCATTATTTTTTGTTAGAAATATCAGCACTAAAAGTATCGGACTAGAACTAGACTAATTCTATACTAAATTGTAACATTTTACAACGAATTACGGACATTAAAATAGCAGGAGTATGAAGAAAACACAAATAAGCTGATAAGTCTTTATCTATTTACTTTACGAATGATCATTAAATTTCTAAATTTCTAAAAATCTACCACGATATATATATACGATCTTTATAAAAAATTATGGATTGGTCAGTTCGACTATTCTGATAGTTGTAGCGTTAAACTTTAATAAGTACGAATGATATTGATGTAATGGTGATAATAGTGATATAATTATTTTATATGGTGGATATTTATTTCTCATATTTTCTGCTGCTCGTGATTTTAATCATAAAAGTTGATACTAAATAATATTCCTAGTTTCTGTTTTACTCCATATCTTATGTTATTATTAATATAAATAGCTTCTTAGGGACAAGTATTACTGAATTTACAATGTGAACGATGAATATTTAATTCAAAAAATTACAAAATTCGAAAGAATTAGAATATGACATACTCGTTACATAAATAACGGTGATAAAGTATCAATTTAACTATTTTATTTGTTCATTTCATAGAGATTTCATTTAAAAGTTGTATTTGTTAATCAGAGATTTTATTTGTTATTTCAATACATTTTATATTTATATGAAAAAATACAAGTTACTGAGCGCCTGATAAATACTGAGATCGTCCACTGTGAATACGTTGCACGTACAATACACGTGTAGCGGCACAAGAGTTAGAATTCGATTCAAATCATGTTATTGTTTTGCTTCGGAGTATGAAGTTCGTTAGGTTACGTATAATGTAAGAATAAACAAACTCCGAGCAAAACAACGTCGCCGCTACATGTAACCGTAAAACAAGGACAAATTTGAATCTTCCGACTTGAGCCCGACTACTATAAATAAACAGACGCGATCGCAAACGGATTATTATAACCTGCGACCAAACGACGTTACACACACCGTTTCGCGACTAGGACATTGTACTGACAATTTTAAATACATTAATGATTTCACCTATTAGTAATCTCATCATTCGACCTCCTACAAATTGGTGACCCCGACGTGATCAAAGTGATAGAGATAACCGGGAGAGTGCCGATAAGATTTCGAACTCCGCGAATATTAGAGTTTTCGAGATGACGAGTACCGACAAAAACGAGCTCGGTAACGTGGACGCGGTAAACGCTCAGCTCCGCATACCATCGTTCTGGGCGGCTGATGTAGAGCTGTGGTTTAATGTGTTAGAGGCACGGTTCAAACACGCCCGGATTACGAGTGAGGTGGCCAAATATAATGCCGTCATCGCGAATATCGATAAACCGTATGTGCGACTCATCCGCGGCATCTTAGCCAATCCACCGGAGAGCGGGCAGTACGAGTTCCTCAAAAAGGAACTCATTAAGAGGCTGGGCGAGTCAGACACCCGACGCCTACGTAAAATAATAGAAAGCGAACAACTAGGCGACAGGACGCCTTCTCAATTTTACCGGGACCTGAAAAGCCTCGCCACCCCTGCAACATCGGACGAACTCATCCGGACTCCCTGGGAAGGCTGACTCCCGATGCACGTGCAGCGCATCCTAGCCTGCGTCCAGGATAAGAGGCCCGAAACTCTGACCACGATCGCCGACAGCATCCATGAAATACGCCCGGAACTAGGACAGGTTGTTGCGGTCAGCACAGACCGAACCACGGCAGTAGGTAAGCCAACGACATACGGCGGCGGAGTAAACGATGCCACGGTTGCCGCCATCAACGCGCTCAGGGAACAGATGATGCAGATACAGGCGAAAATAAACGAGTTGACCATCGGGGATCGCCGGCGACCATGCTCCTGCGCGAAATACCGCCGCCGTTCGCGATCCCGAAGCTCGTCACGGCAAGGCGGCTTATGCTTTTATCATGCGACGTATGGCGAACGCTCGAGAAATTGCACCTCACCGTGTACATGGAAATCGGGAAAACGGGATCGGCCGTCCGTAGTGCGGCGAACGACGACGGCATGATCTCCCGCCGCATTTTCGTTCTCGACACACGTAAAGAAACTTCTTTGGTATTTAAGTGACTCGAGAAAATAATGTCTAAGTTAAATTTAAATTATAAATTTAAATTACTCTTCTTATATCTTTATATACTTATAAATTCTATATTTCAAATATCTATAACAATCTATAAATCTTTCGAACAAAATTTTCAAATATAAACCATTTCATTTTTAAAATGCGTTATTTGATTATACATGTTGATCTGATATACATATTTTCAATAATATACATAAAATTTAGATTTGCTAATTTAACGGAACTTTGACGATGAAAATGAGCTTTACTGGTTTACGTTGCGTTAATTTTCATAGGCTGGAATGTAATTAGTTTAGTGTAACGAAAATTCGATCAAAATTTGTACTATAAATTTTGGACTACACGTCAATATATCTCGCGTTTATACTGTGTACTCTATGCAGCGTACTTGGACAATTTAATTCCGAAGCAACCGCTTTATCTGTTGCTAAGTTTACGAGTATGGCCTCGTGTTGATAATATTGATGCATGTGAATTTCATCGGTCAACTTTATCGTTCATGCAAATGTTATGGAGATTCTTGCTATTGCATTCAATCGATCTGCACTTAAACGTATGTGACAAGAGACATTCGAGTACAAGAATATCGAATAATGTTCGTTATGTAATTATATACTTCTTTTTCGTAATAATATTCGACATTTTAATTTCTCCTTTTAATTCTTTTACTTTAAAAAATTTTTTTATTTTAATTTTACTTTTATAAATACTTTTGAAAAATGTTTAAAAATAGATAGACAAGTACAAGATATTCAGCGCAACAATTAATTTCGCTATATTATTTGGGTTTGATTTGGAAAAAATAAATTTTCCCACTTTTCTTGAAACAAATTAATAAACTCACAATTCAGAAAAAACGTGGCATAGTCCACTTTCGCTCTCAATGTTTCATTTAAATTTCTTTCAAAGTGACTTTTTTCTACCAGAATTTCCTATTCACTTATACGTACATGGATTTCTAATAGCTCGTTAAAAACAGTTGGGAAAAGGATGATCAATGATCAAATACCAAAGTATGGAAAACTGAAAATGTTTGTTGAAAAAAGTTTGAATCGACCTAAATACGGTAAGTACTTTTAATAAGCTGTTGAAAATGTTCACGAATTAATTTTGTAAAAATTTTTCGAGCGAATGAAAGTGCAAAAGGATACAAGACAATTTTGGACCTTATTCAGAGAAAATTCAGCTAATTTTTATTCCTTTTTTGTTATTTGTTGTTTTGTTGCGAATTATATTTTTTGAGAAAATTTTAATGAAATTATTCTATTTCGTCTGTAAAACTCGCGCAATTTTTATATATATGCAAGCATATTTAAATCTCAGATGTGTTTGTAAACATTTTCAGCGTACTTATAATAAAATTAATGTTTTGTTTAAAGAACTTCGTTAAACATTTCCGTTGCAAGATTGTATAAATTCGTGACGATAAATGTATTTAACGTTTTATACGGAGGATATTTGCATCCTTGAAGGTATTCCTTTTAGCTAAGTCAAAGAACAGCTATCACTTCTATTCCCACCACAATGTTAAACGACATTAACTTGATTACTCTGAATGAATAGCTCACAGTAATATGATTTTGTCATAAAATCTCTGAAGAAGAGAAAGTTCTTTCCAAACTGCTTCTTATTACCTCGGCATTGTCTTGTATAATATCTCATTACTAACTATAGAATAAATAAAACGAGTTTATACGCGAATTCCATTATTTCAGTAACGAAGCATTCGGAATATTTTATTAAAATTTCAATAAATAAAAGAACGTGAATATTTCATCAGAAGCATTTCGCTTTTCCTACATTTTTGTGTAGGAGATTTAATAATATAATCTCAGAAGACGATCATGATAAACGTTTAATATCGTTGGAAACTTTTTCTGAAAGCAAAATATTAATAGAACTTTTAATAAAAGTTGGATCTGTTTCAAGTACGAGCGTTAAATAGAGGGACATAATTTTAGAATATCTCATTTTTATTCTTCTATTAATCAGTATACTATATCTATTGATATGAAATGGTTAGAAGAAATGTAGCGGCACTCGGCAGTAAACTTTCTAACGGTTTCTGTCCTGTGGACCGCTACACGAAGACCCTATCCTTCGGACAAGATGATTGCCAGACGTCGAAATATTTCTATAGCACATTTTCTATCTAGCTTAAGGGCCTGGTATAAACCTTAGGATTTCCTATTATGGAAAAATACGAGAAATATGTTTTTTCTCAGGTACGATACTTCAACTTAGCAATATTAACGTTATAACGTCAGCAACTTTCTCTCGAGAGCGGTTAGCATCTTTCCTCAACCGCCGATCTAGAGATCAACCAATTAACAACAACGTCTATTTCCCTCACTTTCCTAACGAAGATTTTCTTCGACGAATTCGATGATCTCGTATCCTTAAACACGTCCCATCATAGTTTTCCTCTGCAGCCGACAGCCGAGTCTCGAGTTGTCAGTAGATAGTCTCCAGTCAGCAGTCGATAGTCCATAGTCGTTAGCCGAAAGTCGATAGTTGAGCAATCATCATCCGAATTTGAATCACTATCGTAACGCATCGCCTAGAAGTCTAACTTATAACCGCGAAACGCAAACAGCTGCTTGTTAATAGATATATTGTTAACCATACTCGAATGATTCTTTAGCACCTATCACGACTTATTCACCTCAGAAACAATAAAATGAAAAAGACAAAATATCACGATATTTTAAATAACTTCATTCGTTCTTTATTTTCCTATGTGAGATTTGAGAACAGTGTTTGGTATACTGTAACTGTAACTGTCTAGTATATTATACAAGTTTGAATCGTTATTTAAGCATTTGCAACGAACATAAATACTGGTTAACAAACGCTTGAAATTTTGCAAAGGCGTGTTAGTATTTAGTATGATTGAGTCTATTCAGTTCGCAAGTTTCCAAGCATAAACTTGGTGGTTCTAAAGTTCAAAAGTTACAGAATTCAGAGCTGCAATAGAACGAGCTGCACGACGAGATACATGGTACGAATTTGCAAAATTTAAAAGGAGAATGCATTAAAAATTGTTTTTCTTCGTATCATTTCCTTTTCATTTTATTTTATTAAATTAGCATTTTTCAATTAGATGTGTCCAATATGAAAGATATTCAAATAGAGAAATAACACGAAACATATTTCCTTGATTTACCATCTCACGAATATTCATTAATATTTTAATTACAAACTGTAGTATTGTATAATAAATTCGTAATAAGTGAATGGTAAAATCTTAAATCAATATTTTGTTACAAATATTACATTTTTGTTAAAAAACATGTACATTCGAATTATTTGATGAAATCATGTTACCGTGATATGTTCTTTTGAAAATGTCGCATTTTAACTGTAGATGTAATCCAATTAGTCAATGGAATTACATATCCTGTTGAGAATACATAATTAAATATATAATTAAATATTCTGTTGAAAATATTATCCCTACGCTCGTTATTAATGTATTATTCGATGAAATTGACTATGCAGTATAATGAGTCGAAATGTTATGTGTTGAAAACGTCATCATTCTACCACAGATATGTAGCCTAATTACTTGAAATCAACTTACATGATAGATAATAGATCCTATTTGAGAGTATTCAACTGCGGAAAAATGTGGCCTAATTACTCAATGGAATTATATTTTCCAATATGATATTTTATTTTGAAAATACTATACGTCTGTTTGTACAATGAAATTAAATCGTTATAAAGTACACATATAACAGCAGTTAATACTTGAAATTAACGTATTAAATCTATGAAACCAGCAATTTGTGTATAATTTTGCTTTGCTTTCCGTTAGCGCTACTATATAAAAATAATTTATTTCGTTTTCCAAAATTCTTCTGTAAAACATATTATTCCTTTACGTGTACCTATACTAAAAATAAACGAAAATTACACAAATTTGAAATTCTCCGTATTATTATACTTGTCTCTTTCACGCTCGGTGTATCACCGTAGTAAATCGTTATTAACCAACTAACCGACAAATATAATTGATGTTAATGAGTCTTGGGTCAATTAGTGAACTTGCATCTCCTTTATAAAAATATCAGAAAAAGTGTGTTTCTATTATTAAGAATAAATTCTTTGTTTCCACAGTCTAAAAAATTTCGCTTCCAGAAGGCTTGAAAAGAAACGCCAATTTCAGATGTAATTAATTTCGCTGGAATATACTTAAATTCCGTATCACTTCATAAAATCATTTTAACTATACAAGATTACAACTGAAGTTACAACATGCTTGGGAATTTATTCTTCTCTTTACATATGCCTTGCAGTTGAGATGAATGTATTTCCTTGACCCATTGTTCTCTTATATTATTCTCTGGTGAACATTCGTCACGAGCACACCGGATCGTTCTGGCAGAAATTCAGTTTCTTTGATACGCTTTCATGGGCTGAGAAAAAATGGCTCACCTAGGAGAAGCAGAATGCTGCCCGCTATGAGTAAAGCGAGTCTATGGTCGGTGGTCGTCGCACCCGGGGCAAGTTGGACTAGACCAACGACTAGCACCACTGCGCCTAACAACAGACACGCCACCACCGCGTGTAGCCCCGATATCTGTAAACGATAATGTCCTTGTTAAATCATTTGCCACGTCTAACTGTCATAGGAATCATCTGGTGGTGATTCCACGTGCAAGGTATAAATTATTCATCATCTTGCAAGTGTTTCTCTCCAGTGATTTTCTGTTATAGGATAATTCTAATGATCTGTGTTGCTTTTCACAATTAAAATGCTCTATACGTTATTTCTGTTATATTTTAAGATATGTTACGGCTCATACAGCGGATCACAAAAGCATTTGAACACTTACAGAAACTTCTTACGCATATATATTAATATACAAAACACGTTATAACATATATTCAGTTTTTAAAATACATTACCCCTTGTACAGTGGCTTGCGAAAGTATTTGAACGTATATAGAAATTGTTTATGAACATGTTACGAACATATAACGTATAGTACAAACTATTTGAGAACTATGTTAGCAGAAACAAGTCTGAAAATGCATGTAGCAGTTGTTTCTTTTTTACGATTGTTTACTGCAAACGTACGATTCGTGGACAATACCAAAGTATTTGAGCAATCAATTATTCATTATAACAATGTCTAAGACCATTCATTAATCATATTGCATATTATTGTTTTACTAAATGTACATTTGCAATAAGTATGTCGTAAGCTCTATGTACATTTTCGAATTAATTATGCATTTTGCTAACACAACCATGATTTTACATTTTAATTCTTGTATTTGTTTCCTGTTTTTTAAATATTTTAGTTGTGGTCATTTGTATTTGACTATGCGAATATGAATTTATATAGAGAAGCATGAGGAATTGTTAAACTGATGTAAAAATTGGAAAATTAAACGGATGAGTGACAACGTTTCGTGACAACAAGTGTAAAATATTCTTCTATTTCTAATCATTTAATTAATTTTATTAAAACAACATCCTTTAATAATTTTAAATATTTTCAAAAATTTCAATAATTATTATTTCAAGGACATATCAAAACATTATATTTTTATATTTTTTTTATATTATTATATGTTATTTTTTCTATTACAACGTTTTATTATATCAATATTTTAGTCGTAAATATTTAGGTGTATAACGTAATCGGTAAATTTTGTGCAAGATTTTAATGGATAGTAGTAACTCTGTTGTTTCTTGAGCTTTCAATCCACTGTATTATGTAACTGACGTCGTGCATCTGGTAAGTCTATCAAAATCTATATATAATCTCTATCAAGGACTCTTTTAATTAATCTCTTAATCATACTTATATTGTCAATGCATACTATAATATTAATCTCAAAACGATTTTCGCTGTTCGATGCTTAATTTCTAACAAAGTTACGTTCTAACAAAACATAGAACTCTTCTAAACCACAAAATCTATTTAGAACATTACTTAATCCACGTAGAGAGTAAACTGTTCAGTTCTATCGAGATTAAATGTATTTTTATTTTCGAAAAAATAAATACCAATTATCGATTTGCAGGCATTTATGGAAAATTTATAAGCATAAAAATATACGCGTGTAATATCTAGAGAAAAATTCGTTTTATCACATTTTATGAATCATACAAATTTCTCTTTAGATTCCATTTCTTTAAATATATTCAGAAATATTTGATTGGTCGTAAATATTACAGAGTCGATCACCTTCATTTCTAAGCAATTTCTTTCAACATAAAAATTTCAGAAAATAGAATCGATCACTTTGATTCTTGAGTTTCAGTGATTCGAGTGTTTTGCCAAGTCGTTGAAGTATGTGTTATAAGAAGATATGCAAATCTATAAATGGCACACAGGCACACATAAATTCTACACAGCGGAATAATTCAAGAACACAGAAATCGAACGTTCGTGTTGTAATAAAGCGTACCCATGATGCGTAGCGTATGGTCAGTTGAGATCAATAAATAGTCACGTTAGCGCGACGATATCCATCACGGTAATGTACGTACGTACATATGTTTGTATGTTTGTACGTTAAGCAAAAAAATTACCTTGCCACAGAGATACAACTCGGGTAAAGGTTCCAGGTGGTTGTTGTGGCCATGAGGACTGGGGGTAGGCGGTGAGCCTTGAGGCGGTGGCATCCATTGGCCCCCTAGGTAAAGCTGACTAGGACGTTTTAATCTTTTTTCCTGTCGTTTACGTTCGTGGCGAACTGCCACCGCAGGCATTGCACCGATCATCCTGCAAAACAGTCAACGAACGTTAGTGATAATTAAAATATTATAGATGCAAGTAAGCTTTTCTTGAAATTTCGTAGATTTACCACTGTGTCTTTTTAATTCATAGATGAATTTTAAGAAAAGTTCGTTTCAATGATTTCAACTAGATTGTTAAGATTGCACGATAAGATTATGGACAGTGGCTAGAAAAAATATTGATACGTCGATGTATTTACTGTAGCATTTATATAATAATGAAGTCTTAGGTCTTTAGATGCTGCATAATTTGAAAAATTTGATATTACAGGAATGAAATCAGTATCAGATAGACACAAAAAAACACGCTACACAGAATCTGATAGATACCTTTTTGGAAAACGAGGATATGTGCTTATATTATACTGTAGTTGTAAAAAGTAAAATACAGTTGTAGGTGTTAAATCATATTAAATTTATATATTTAATAATTAACTAATGAACGATGGTATATGCTTAGAATTAAGTTAAGAATATTTATAAATTGTTGTAAAATATAATAATTTAAAATCTTGTGAAAGTATCCGGAAAAGTCTGCAATTATTAAAAAATAAACTATCGTATAAATTCTTTTCCCTTTGGGATGAATGATCATTCTTGTCCACTGGTCACTTTCACGTTTTGTTATTATAATAAAATTATTCTTTTCATAAACTGGCATTTAATATAGATTGACACAGTTCTAAATGAAAAAATAGTACCTTAAGTGTAATTTTAGTTTTAGCTGGTAAAAAATATAAAAATTATAAAACTGATTATTGTAATAAATTGTTGGAGGGGTCAATTTACAATAAAAATTTCGAAGTAATTAAATTTGATTGTGTTATAATGGAAAAATCAATTTTCTTGACATCAGAATATTTTGCATTGTCACCTTTCTTAACCCAATCATCCGTAACCTTGTTAACGGTTAATCGTCATGCATATAAGGAACATCCGACTCGCGCGTGAGCTCATTTTCGTTTGAACCTTCGTAACGTGCAGATCGACAAAAAACCTTTGTTTACTTATTAGCGACTTAATTACGAATTTAAATATAGCATCTAAACCATTAATATATAACATTTAAGCTGTAATTCGGTTCGAGTGACCCTGTAGGGGTGGACCCCACTCGTTCCGTTGGGGCTTTGCCTTGTGAAAGTTTCGAACGGCCAAACAGATATTCGAGTTACGGTCAATCCTTGGGCTTCCCGCTGAATCTTGAGATCATCTCGTGTACAGAGGTAAGTCGCGAAGGTGTGTTAACCATAAATAACTCATGAGCGGGTAAATAACTCCTGCGTAGTCACCTCCTCGTGGTGAGATCTGGTAACCAAGCTAAGAACTACGCACCAGTCCAGTTTGGGTTACCAAAAACCGCGAAAAGAATTTTGGATGATCTAGTTTGGACTACAACGTGGGACATCGTTGGACAACGTTGGACACCGTTGGACATCGCTGGATATGTCTTGACTTTCAAATCCATTCTGAGCCCATTCTGTACAATGATACGTATCTGACTTGGAACAAAATATAAAAATCTATTCTTTTTTTCCTCTGAATCTTGCGGTTACTTTGTGCACAGGAGTGCGATTTTTCTTATTAGTGTCAAGAGAGATTATTTACGGTTTGAATTAGAGTTGCGATAAAATAATCGCGTTTGCTATAGAGTTGCGAATTACGTTATCGCGATTGTCTTTTGCAATTTTTATTATGAATTTTTAGAACTTTCTAGAAAATTGTATGTATCAGAATTTATCCTGTTTTCTATTGTTTAAAATTAGATTATAAA